TCCCAGACTGATTCAAACTGATTACATTAGTTTGGTTTGACCATTTCATAAAAAATGTTGGTCACACTTTATTCAATAAACTGCTAATTAGCTGCTTATTAATAGTTAGTAAGGTAGTTGTTAAGTTTAGGTATTGGGTGGGTTAAGGGATCTAGAACATGGTCATGCAGAATATGTGCTTTATAAGTACTAATAAACAGCCAATATGCTAGTCATATGCATGCTAATAAGCAACTAGTTAATGGTGAGAATTGGACCTTAAAATAAAGTGTTACCGCAAGTTTTTTTCTCACAACTCAGAGAAAAGATGTCAGAATTGCGTGATATAAACTCACAATTGCAAGCAAAAAAGTCAGAGTTGTGAATTGTTCATATCACGCAATTCTGACTTTGTAACACAGAAGTGATAAAAAAGTCAGAATTGTGAGATAAAAAGTCACAATTACTGTTTTTTTTTTTTTTTTTTCCAGTGGTGGAAACAGGCTTCCATAGTGTTGGGATGAAACCAGTAATAAATCTTAAATGAAAGCATAAATCAGGACCTGAATTTTGTCCCGAGCGTCATAATTTTTGTTAAATGAAAATGAAAGCAAACTAAGAGACTGTTGGCAATTAAATAAAATTGGAGTATAATTATTGGGTGAATTAAAGGTCATTTGGGGATTTTGCTTGCACTTCTAACTTTTATTTCTGTGATGCAAATCTAAATTTTCAGCATCATTACTCCAGTCTTCAGTGTCACATGATCTTCAGAAATCAGTCTAATATGCTCAGTTCTGGTTATTATCAATGTTGAAAAACATAATACAATACAACCTTATTTTTTCATGAGATTTTTTCATAGGAATCTACTTCGGCACAGTTTGACAGTTTTTATGCATTATAATGAAATGATAAATATTCATTTGGAGTACCTCTGGTGGTTGTGGGTAGTGTGTCCTCCAGGTGAGGAGTGAATTAAAGATGCCTGATCTTTACGAGCTCCATCTGCACAGCCACTTGGCATCACCTTTAATCAAACACACAGAGTGTGACATTCATGGAAAGACTGTGTGGAATGACTGAACATTTGATGATGTTTTGTATCTGAAATGATTTGATTCGTGTCTGAAGACACACACCTGCAGTGTGACGGCTCCGATGCTGTTTCTCAGGACAGCACTTGCCTCAGTAACTGAGAGACGTGCTGTTGATGTACCGTTAATGCTGATGACCCTGGCACCCAGCTGAAAATTCAATTCAGAGGTGATTATATTTGAGGGTGGCGGGAAGCAATTCTCATGAGTGGTGTGTTCGTTTCGGTGTCCTGTGACATTTACATTTTTGTAGTAGGAACTATTAGATATGTTAGATAAACTAGTATCTAATATAAAATGAATCTAGTATGAAAACTAGCTGGGTTTAAACACATTAAATTGCTGTATCCATTTGTGAAAGTGGTGATTTTGGCCTCTCCCATCTTGACCAAACACGAAATATAAAATCATTAAATTTCATAAATTCAAACAATTATCCCAAAATTACTTACAGTTCATTGCAGTAAAAATATTTTGAGCAAAAAAAAAATAAAAAAAGTTTTCTCAATTTTTACACAAGTTTCAGTGTTCATAGAATTCATCCAGCTCAACCATTCAACTCTGTTACCCAAATCATTGTACAAAAAAATCCAAATACATATATGTTTTTTAATTTATTGGTAATATAGTTCTATAAATAACTATAAAACAGTGTAGCCTTAAACTATATAGCTTTTACTGACTAGTAAAGGCTAAATAAATGGAAAATGTATGTGTATATACACACACACACACACACACACTACTGTTCAAAGTTTTGGCATCAATTACATTTTTTACATTTTACAGTATCTGAGTGTACTCTCTCAAGTGTGTGTGTGTGTGTTTTTAAAAGCAAAAATACAGTAAAACCCGTAATATTGTGACATTTTACAACTTAAAACAGCTGTTTTCTATTGTAATATATTTTAAAATGTAACTTTTTCAGGATTCTTTGACGCATAGAAAATTCAAAAGAACAACATTTATTTAAAAAAAGAGAAATATCTCTTTTTTAACATTATAAATGTCTTTACTGTTAATTTTGTATCCGCGCAGGATGAAAGTATTAATTTCTTTCAAAAATCACAACATTCTGAATGGTAGTGTACATATAGTTTGATGTATATTGTGAGGCTTACAATGATTATGTATTTATTTATTTAAATTTTGCCTTTAATAGGACAGGCTATCGGCTCCATCATCAACATTTTCTAAACATAATGAAAAAGGGGGAAAGGCTTTCAGGTCCTGTATTATATTAAGCGTCGAGCATTCTCATTCTCTCTCTCTGTACCTGCAGAAGTCCTGCACGCGCTGCGGATGTGGTCGGGTCCAGGTTGGAGATATAAATCATTCCATCTCCCTGTGTGCCTCTCAATCTCAACTCCACAGACTCACACTCATGCTGGGACAGAATCACACCAACAGTACAGTTACTAGTGGATCATACGGTTACTGCAGAAACATGCCTTACATTACTGCTTTGAAAGTGCATGTAAAACCAAACCCACCTTCTGAACGCTGACAGTTCTGATGTCCACGTTCCCATCCACAGCTGCGCAAAAAGATGAAAACATTGACTCACTGATGAATAGAACTGAATAGTGAATAATTGTGTGGTGTGACAGACACTCTTACAATCATATGCACTGAAAGAGGAGAGAAGAGGGACGTCCAGCTCGCCCACCTGCAACAACACAGACAGAACACAGACTCACAAACACTGTTAGATCTGAGATGGATACCATTGAGACCATTTGTGTGCTGTAAATATACTGTATGTATGGTGTGTACAGTGTGTCAAGAGTTTTTCTCCATAATACACTACCGTTCAGAAGTTTGGGGTCAGCTTTTTTTCATCAAAATTACAGTAAACAGTCATGTTCTGAAATATTATTACAATTATATATTCTATATATTCAATATATTCTACACTGTAATTTATTGCTGTGATCAAAGCTGAATTTTCAGCATCATTACTCCAGTCTTCAGTGTCACATGATCTTCAGAAATCATTCTAATGTGCTGATTTGCTGCTTAAGAAACATTTCTGGTTATTATCAATGTTGAAAACAGTTGTGCTGCTTTTATTCTGGTGGAAACTGTGATATAAACTGTGCAAGTTCAAAAGAACAACATTTATTTGAAAGAAATCTTATAAATGTGTTCACTGTCAATTTTGATCAATTTAATGCATACATGATGAATAAAAGTATTACTTTCTTTAAAAAAATCTTACTGACCCCATACGTTTGAACAGTAGCGTATCTAATATATTGTATAAAATATTAACCTCACAATGTTTAAAAATGGAAATCGATTTAGTTTTCTTTTATTCACAATTATAATTTTGCTACTTTCCCATGTGCTATGCATTCTAACTTCACAAAGTTCTAACATTACAAATTGTCAATTTATTAAGTTGTTCAGGTTTTTTTTAAAATTGCCAATCATTCTGTTTTAATTGGTCTTCCATTTTTTTCTTTTCTTAATGCTCTTTAACTATCAAAAGCTAGGTTCTGATATCATTTTTTTGTGTTAGTTGTTCTCGCGCCAAATAATTCCACCTTGCTTGATAAATGTACAAAAATCTGAAAAAAAAAAAAAAAGGTTAAATATATCAAAATGAACTTTAAGTCGACATCCTGATGTCGGTCACTGAGCAATGGCTATTCTTTTGGGAGTCATTCTGTTCATCTTCATGTGTAAATAATGGTCTGAACTTAACCAGAGCGTATTTTGAACCCTATATAAAAAAATATTTAATTGAATTATAACACATGCATATTTATTGTTTTGTATCACAAAGTTCAAAGGGTACTGCATAACAGGAATGATTCAGCGTTTACCTGATCTCCATATGAGTAGTGTGATGGAGTTTTAAAACGAGCCACCTCCAACAGCACAGGCCCACTACAGCTCTACAACACACACACACACACACACACACACACACACACACACACACACACACACACACACACACACACACACACACACACACACACACACACACACACACACACACACACACACACACACACACACACACACACACACACACACACACACACACACACACACACACACACACACACACACACACACACACACACACACACACACACACACACACACACACACACACACACACACACACACACACACCACACACACGCACACACACACACACACAAGGTGAGGAGCGCAATTAGCCCTATTATGATTATGAAAGAAATGCATTAATTACTGTATTCCTGTGTATTTGCGTGCACCTGCAGTAGCGCGCTTGCATCGTCTTGTGATGAAGCTCGCATGTCCTCTCCATTCACAGACAAAATCTGGTCACCTAGCAACAGTCTTCCATCCAAGTCTGCAGCCCCTCCCCTTGTTATCTCAGACACGAAGATTCCAGTATCATTCCTGAAAGACATGCAGACAATTATGAATTCAGATGAATCATAAAACAGCTGATTCTATGTATTATTCATGACCTATAGTGTGCAGTTCTGTAATGTAATTATATTCCTTGAGAATAACCCACCATTTACCCACAATGCGAAGCCCCAGTCCCTGTCCTGTTTTGAGGTTCAGTTCCACACTGAAGAGGTCCCACATGTCCTCGGGTGTGTGGTTCTGGAGGGTGTGTGTGGAGTGGTTTTCTGTCCCAGGGTCTCTGTAGATGCACAATCGCACACGCTGCGGACTCAAGCGCAGGACGCTCAAGGCCTCCTCATGAGTGGCCATTCTCAGATCAATGCCGTTCACCTGGAGGAGATAACAGTAATTACACTTAAGAGCTATTCAACGAACCTTGGACAGAAAAAGTAGATTAAATATTTCCCCAGATCAGTTTAATCTGTGCATAAATACTGTATGTGCACTGCACCCTGTTGATGTCAATCTAAGGCATAAGTTTACATTAATGATTGCTACTCTGTGTATTTGATTGTACATACCTTGGGTCAATGGAAGTTCTTAGTAAACTAAACTATACAAATTCACTGGTGAATGCTACACTTCTGTACCTCTAGTATATGATCTCCAGCCCACAGCCGACCATCTCTGTGTGCCGCACCATCCTTATTCACTTCATGAATCACTATTACGCCCTGACAAAGAAAGAAAGAAAGAAATGATATTATCAGCATGCAAGCAAAAAGTTGCATTGAAAGCAGTCATTCTTTAACGACTCAAGCTGGCATGAACCTAAAAATAGTGCAGAATCTAATAAATTTTCTTTGCTTTTAACTGTTTCAAAATCCAAAATCTTTGTTTATTTCCACATTTAAAAAATCCCCAGGGAAAGAGAGAATATTGTTTGAACTCCCATTTTGATTTCTGGTGATTGCAACATGTTACTTCAAAATATATTTTTAATTGAAAGGAATATTTTATAAGCTTTATCAAGCGCTCTCTCTGGCCTTCTGTCAAATACCACATGAACAAGTAATTTAGACTCATCCCTCAGTTCAAAAAGAGCAAAAACAGGAGGGTTTAGACGACTTTACAGATCAAATAATAAGCATTTTAGTAGTAAATAATAAAAAAAAAAAAAATATACAAACTTTATATTTCTCAACATACCCCATTCACTTCCACTGTAAATGAGTTTTGTTTTTGTTTAAGAGATGAGTTACTTCCTGCACTAGTTGACATTAAATATTTCTTTAAAGGGATAGTTCACTCAAAAATTAAAATTTAAAATGAAATTTTAATCTGTTCTCCACTCAAAAATATTGTATAGCTTCTGATGTCACGTGAGCTGCTTTCACAGTGAATTCCTATCGCTCAAACTCTAACGCAAAAGGTCATGGGTTCAATTCCCAGGAAATGCATGAACTGACAAAATGGATATCTTTAATGCAATATAAGTTGCTTTGGATAAAATATTCTGGCAATGCATAAATGCATAAATGCTTTATAATTTATTTATTTATTTACTTTTTTATATCACAATTCACCTGCATTGTAAAGATTGGACAGCGTGAACATTCTGCTAAACTTCTCCTTGTGTGTTCCACGCAAGAAAGAAAATCAGGTTTGGAATGACATGAGTGTGAATAAATGATGATGTGATATTTTCATTTCTGGCTGGCTATCGCTACTACAGATAACATTGCTGTGGTATTTGATATTCAAGTTTGCATTCAAGTTGCCGTTTCGACACCATTAAATCTAATATACATGGTTTTCTTTACAATTTCTCACCAGCACTGTGTTGCAGCCTCCTACTATGCTGAGGCCGAGCCCCGCAGTGCCCTTGCAGATATCGATGGTATTTATACAGCCAGCTATGATTGGACTTGTTAGGGGGTCAGAGCTCACAGAACCCTGGGCCAAGTAAGAAGTGCTGTGAGGCCCTGTGCTAGAGCTCTGATTGGCTGTGGGGCCGCAGCGGCTCCTGTCATCAGCTGATGAAACACCAGATGATGGAGGCGTACAGTGGCTGGGAGACATGTGACTGGCAGGATGACAGGAGGGCTTATGATTGGATGTGGCATTGATTGGAGCAGGAAGACCAATGTTGAGGCTCTCTGAGGAACGAGACTTCAGTTTATCCTCTCTGCTGATCCTTCCATCCTATCGACAAACAGAAACATGAGAACAAAGAGAATGAAGTAGGCAGATATTTTTTGTCTAACATTTGATTTGACAGTTTTACCTGCAATAATACTGAATGTTGACCTTCTCTGATCATGTTGATATGCATAGCTGGAGATACAACAGGACAGTTGTCCATCTAAACAGATAAAAGTGTTATTAGATGACGCAAGAGACTGAAGACATTCAGTAATGCAGACGTGGTAAACGAAGATAAATTCATCAAAATAAAATAAAGAATCAAGAATAAAACAAAAAATGAATGAACTTGTCAGAAATATGCAGAAAATAGAACTTGTTCAGAATGCTTTTTTTTGGACAATGATTTAATTTGTTAATCAAGCATTGCTCTATAATTATTGTCTTTTTTTTTTTTTTACTGTTTTAAGAAGTTTTTTAGTTTATTTATTTAAGTGTGTGTGTGTCTCCATTGCCTCCTTTGCTGGTCCTGTAGTCATCTGTTTCTGTGCAGCTTTATTCCTGATGAGAAAATTACATGTGTGCATCAAAATATGTGACACATCCACACTACACATAGATACATAGTAGGATACAAAGTCTGAGACCTTTAGTGAAAATGCTTCTAGTTTGATTTCAAATTATATGCAGTGTTTTCATTACAAATGATACATATCAGAATAAAAAAATTGAGTGAATTGACATTCTTTAATGACACCGTGCATTCAAGCTGGCATAGACCTAAAAGTAGTGCTGAATATCTTTCTTTGTTTTAAATATTTCAAAATCCGAAGTCTTTCTTTATTTCTGTTTCAAATTAAAAACAAATCATGCATTATATGCGACATGCATTGCAGTCTCAGATGTTTGCACTCCACAGTAATAAGCTATGTATATAAAGAGCATATTAAAATGCACGTAGAAGAAAGCTTGTGTTAATCTGCATCCATGTGAACATGTCTCACCTTGTGAGCAGAATCCTGACTTTAGCCGGAGTGTTGTTGATGATTGCTGTTGCGTTCTGGTGACTGCGTCCATACAGCACTTGTCCATTTATCTGCAAAATGCACACATGTACACGCTGAAGACTAACCCTTGACCTTTGATAAGACCCATATTTCACTGTGTTTTGCTCTTTTAGTTATACTGGGAAGACTGAGGGCAATTCTAACATTTTTACATGCAAATCTACATACCATCTTTTGATATGACATTCAGTTTTGCCAAAATAAATGTAACATTAATAGACTTTGAGAAACAGAACAACTTGATCATAATATCAAATATAATCTAAAAGTACTGTATGTTAATACAAAACATGCCAACACCTTGAACCTGCCAACACACACATTAAAAATACAATAAAAAAAATCTATCAATCCATTGTGCTTCAAATAAGAGGCTTGAATTAAAAAGTAATACAAATGTCTTTATTTATTGTTAATAATACTGAAAAGATTTCAGTTTTAAATGGGACTTATTCATAAAGCTGTCAGATGTGTATTTCATTTGATAATACATTTAATATATTTGACAATTATTTCACAATTATTCTAATTATCTGAAATATAATGTATCATTTTCATTATATATGTATTCATATATGACTCAATATTTCTCTAATAAATACATTAATATTAGCCGTTGAGCACAACATTTAAACTAGGTAGTTTAATTCAAAAAATTATATAATTAAAAATTATATAATATATAATGTTGCATTACTGTTGTTACAATCATTATACAATCAAATTTCGTATAGCTGCCAGTGAGAGTATAAGCAATTGTTGTTTATGGCAACTTTTAAACAATAACCTAAAAATATCAGTCACCCCCCCAAAAAACCATCAAAATCAGTATTTGTTTAAACAATCACAATTCACCGATCTCTCGTTTTTCATTAGAAACTGAATGAGTCTGCTTTCTAATTATAACATATACAGCAAAAAGTCTTGAATAATTGGACTTGCCAAATGAAATGAGTTCAGGAGGTCGTTCTCACCTCCAGCAGTTCATCTCCCACTCTGACCCGACCATCTGCGGCAGCAGCCCCGTCCGGTTTGATCTCGGACACGTACACACTCATTCTACCACGCGCTCCATCTCTGTTTCCCGACAAACACAATCCCAGTCCAGAGCCGTGAGAGCCACAGTCCAGATCAAACATGTGCAGCTCTCCAGGCAGACTGCCATACCTCTGCTGCATGCGGCCTGCTTACACACACACACACACACACACACACACACAC